GAAGGATAAAGGAGTTGGAGGTGCAAGTGGTGTTCTCGTCCATCCTCCCCGTGGAAGGAAAAGGCCTAGGTAGGGAGCGTCGAATCGTGGAAGTCAACGAATGGCTACGCAGGTGGTGTCGGAGAGAAGGCTTTGGATTCTTCGACCATGGGATGGTGTTCCATGAAGGAGGAGTGCTGGGCAGAGACGGGCTCCACTTAACGAAGAGAGGGAAGAGCATCTTCGCGAGCAGGCTGGCTAACCTAGTGAGGAGGGCTTTAAACTAGGTTCACCGGGGGAAGGAGACCAAAGCCCTGAGGTAAGTGGGAAAGTGGGATACCGGGAGGAAGCACAGGCAGGAATGTCTGTGAGGGGGAGGGCTCCTGCCTCATACTGGGAATGAGGGGCGATCAACAGGTTATCTCAAGTGCTTATATACAAATGCACAAAGCCTTGGAAACAAGCAGGGAGAACTGGAGGTCCTGGTGATGTCAAGGAACTATGACGTGATTGGAATAACAGAGACTTGGTGGGATAACTCACATGACTGGAGTACTGTCATGGATGGTTATAAACTGTTCAGGAAGGACAGGCAGGGCAGAAAAGGTGGGGGAGTAGCACTGTATGTAAGGGAGCAGTATGACTGCTCAGAGCTCCGGTACGAAACTGCAGAAAAACCTGAGTGTCTCTGGATTAAGTTTAGAAGTGTGTGCAACAAGAGTGATGTAGTGGTGGGAGTCTGCTATAGACCACCAGACCAGGGAGATGAGGTAGATGAGGCTTTCTTCCGGCAGCTCACGGAAGCTACTGGATCGCATGCCCTGATTCTCATGGGTGACTTTAATTTTCCTGATATCTGCTGGGAGAGCAATACAGCGGTGCATAGACAATCCAGGAAGTTTTTGGAAAGCGTAGGGGACAATTTCCTGGCGCAAGTGCTCGAGGAGCCAACTAGGGGGCGCTTTTCTTGACCTGCTGCTCACAAACCGGGTAGAATTAGTGGGGGAAGCAAAAGTGGACGGGAATCTGGGGGGCAGTGACCATGAGTTGGTTGAGTTCAGGATCCTGACACAGGGAAGAAAGGTAAGCAGCACGATACGGACCCTGGACTTCAGGAAAGCAGACTTCGACTCCCTCAGGGAACGGATGGCCAGGATCCCCTGGGGGACTAACTTGAAGGGGAAAGGAGTCCAGGAGAGCTGGCTGTATTTCAAGGAATCCCTGTTGAGGTTACAGGGACAAACCATCCCGATGAGTCGAAAGAATAGTAAATATGGCAGGCGACCAGCTTGGCTTAATGGTGAAATCTTAGCGGATCTTAAACATAAAAAAGAAGCTTACAAGAAGTGGAAGGTTGGACATATGACCAGGGAAGAGTATAAAAATATTGCTCGGGCATGTAGGAATGATATCAGGAGGGCCAAATCGCACCTGGAGCTGCAGCTAGCCAGAGATGTCAAGAGTAACAAGAAGGGTTTCTTCAGGTATGTTGGCAACAAGAAGAAAGCCAAGGAAAGTGTGGGCCCCTTACTGAATGAGGGAGGCAAACTAGTGACAGAGGATGTGGAAAAAGCTAATGTACTCAATGCTTTTTTTGCCTCTGTTTTCACTAACAAGGTCAGCTCCCAGACTGCTACGCTGGGCATCACAAAATGGGGAAGAGATGGCCAGCCCTCTGTGGAGATAGAGGTGGTTAGGGACTATTTAGAAAAGCTGGACGTGCACAAGTCCATGGGGCCGGACGAGTTGCACCCGAGAGTGCTGAAGGAACTGGCGGCTGTGATTGCAGAGCCATTGGCCATTATCTTTGAAAACTCGTGGCGAACGGGGGAAGTCCCGGATGACTGGAAAAAGGCTAATGTAGTGCCAATCTTTAAAAAAGGGAAGAAGGAGGATCCTGGGAACTACAGGCCAGTCAGCCTCACTTCAGTCCCTGGAAAAATCATGGAGCAGGTCCTCAAAGAATCAATCCTGAAGCACTTGCATGAGAGGAAAGTGATCAGGAACAGCCAGCATGGATTCACCAAGGGAAGGTCATGCCTGACTAATCTAATCGCCTTCTATGATGAGATTACTGGTTCTGTGGATGAAGGGAAAGCAGTGGATGTATTGTTTCTTGACTTTAGCAAAGCTTTTGACACGGTCTCCCACAGTATTCTTGTCAGCAAGTTAAGGAAGTATGGGCTGGATGAATGCACTACAAGGTGGGTAGAAAGCTGGCTAGATTGTCGGGCTCAACGGGTAGTTATCAATGGCTCCATGTCTAGTTGGCAGCCGGTATCAAGTGGAGTGCCCCAAGGGTCGGTCCTGGGGCCGGTTTTGTTCAATATCTTCATAAATGATCTGGAGGATGGTGTGGATTGCACTCTCAGCAAATTTGCGGATGATACTAAACTGGGAGGAGTGGTAGATACGCTGGAGGGGAGGGATAGGATACAGAAGGACCTAGACAAATTGGAGGATTGGGCCAAAAGAAATCTGATGAGGTTCAATAAGGATAAGTGCAGGGTCCTGCACTTAGGACGGAAGAACCCAATGCACAGCTACAGACTAGGGACCGAATGGCTAGGCAGCAGTTCTGCGGAAAAGGACCTAGGGGTGACAGTGGACGAGAAGCTGGATATGAGTCAGCAGTGTGCCCTTGTTGCCAAGAAGGCCAATGGCATTTTGGGATGTATAAGTAGGGGCATAGCGAGCAGATCGAGGGACGTGATCGTTCCCCTCTATTCGACATTGGTGAGGCCTCATCTGGAGTACTGTGTCCAGTTTTGGGCCCCACACTACAAGAAGGGTGTGGATAAATTGGAGAGAGTCCAGCGAAGGGCAACAAAAATGATTAGGGGGCTGGAACACATGACTTATGAGGAGAGGCTGAGGGAGCTGGGATTGTTTAGCCTGCAGAAGAGAAGAATGAGGGGGGATTTGATAGCTGTTTTCAACTACCTGAAAGGGGGTTCCAAAGAGGATGGCTCTAGACTGTTCTCAATGGTATCAGATGACAGAACGAGGAGTAATGGTCTCAAGTTACAGTGGGGGAGGTTTAGATTGGATATTAGGAAAAACTTTTTCACTAAGAGGGTGGTGAAACACTGGAATGCGTTACCTAGGGAGGTGGTAGAATCTCCTTCCTTAGAGGTTTTTAAGGTCAGGCTTGACAAAGCCCTGGCTGGGATGATTTAACTGGGAATTGGTCCTGCTTTGAGCAGGGGGTTGGACTAGATGACCTTCTGGGGTCCCTTCCAACCCTGATATTCTATGATTCTATGATTCTATGAGTGTGGGGAAGTTGGGGCCCTGCACCCCCCCTTTCCTGCGATTCCCCGGGACTCTCAGCCAGCCAGTAACACAGAAGGTTTATTAGGCGACAGGAACATGGTCCAAACCAGAGCTTGTAGGTGCAGAAACCAGGACCCCTCAGTCAGGGGGACAGGGAGCTTGGAGCCCGGCCCTGGGTGTCCCTCCGTTTCCCCAGCCAGCTCCAAACTGAAACCCCCTCCAGCCTTCGCACCCAGCCCCCTCCCACCCCCCGGCTCCTCCTCCAGCCTTCGCACCCAGCCCCCCACCCCCCGGCCCCTCCTCCAGCCTTCGCACCCAGCCCCCCCACCCCCCGGCCCCTCCTCCAGCCTTCGCACCCAGCCCCCTCCCACCCCCCCCACCCCCTCCTCCAGCCTTCGCACCCAGCCCCCTCCCACCCCCCCCCCCCCCTCCAGCCTTCGCACCCAGCCCCCCACCCCCCGGCCCCTCCTCCAGCCTTCGCACCCAGCCCCCTCCCACCCCCCCACCCCTCCTCCAGCCTTTGTCCAGGTGCCTGGGCAGGTGTCACCTGGCTCCAACCCCTTCCTGGGCTCAGGGCCCCTGCTCAGGTATCGTCCCGCCAGTGACGTCACCCCCAATACCCCCCACCATCCCACACCGACGCAGCCAGTCCCAGTCTAACTCCCCCCAACATCCCAGGTCAACGCGCCCCACTCCCTGCTCCGTCACAAAGAGGGGAGGGGAGAGGCGGTTGTGGGGACACAGGACCGGCGAGGGAACTTGGGACCCCGCCAATGGCCTGGAGAATGGAGGCCCCAGCGACTGGGGACCTGGGGGCCCAGCCGGGTCTGGCCGGGGTGGGACAATGGGCTGTCGGGGGAGGACCCTGGTGACCGGACCAGGCGTCCCGGCCAGGGGGGAACAAAGGGCGGAGGAGAGGGGCCCCAGCGACCGAGACAAAGGGCAGAGGCGGGGCTTGGGGGCGGTGATGGGGGGCTCGGTGGGGGGGAGGGAGCAGGCAGAGCCCCCCTGGATGGGCTGGGGGAGGCCAGGCCTGAGGCCGGGTTCAGACGCTCACGGACCGTCCTGTGGTACGCTGGCCCGGAGTCGCTCCGGGCTGGGGATCGGGTCCCGTGGCGGAAGCAGAACCGGAGCGGGGCCGTTCCAAGACGTTTATTATCCGCGGCCGCGTGTGGGGCCAAGCAGCAGCGGGGGCGGGGGGCGGGTTACAGGCTCACACTCACCACCCCAGCAATCTCCAGCCTTGCTGGTCTGTGGCCCTCGCCCCCCAGGTCAGCCACCTGCTGCCCCGTTACCCCCCCGGGCACGGCTCCCGCGGGGCCCCCAGAACAGGGCTCAGGGACTGGCCAGGGCCCTGCTGGCTTCCCACTCCCCTGTGGGGCTGGCTCCTCCTCCCCAGGGGACCCCATCCTCCCAGCAGCCCCCCGCGCTGCTCACGCACCGCCCCTCAGGGCTCCCTGACCAGCCTACAGCAGCCCCCTTCCTGCACCTGCTCCCCACACTCCTGCCCCCCGACCAGGCTCGCAGCTCAGGGCCCCTGGAAATGCTCCTGCCCTCTCCCTGAGCCCAGGGGCTGGCCTGGCTGGGGGCACGTTGCCACCCACGGCGAGCTCTGTGTCTGCCCCAGGGTGTCTTGCGCCGGCGGGCAGCTCTCCGCCCATCCAAGGCCTTTCCCCATTGGAGCCCAGGCCAGCCCCATGGGGGCCAGGCTAAGAGCTGGCAGGGAGGGGGTTCACTCACCCAGCCCCAACCCCAGGACAGGGGCAGCCGGGCACGAGGGGACAGGCTCTGCTGGGGCCTGGACACATGGGGGGCTGCATGCTGGAGGCCCCAGGCCTAGCCAGCCATGGGGGGGGGGGGATATGCTGAGATCACCCTGCCTTGGGCCAGAGACCCAGCCCCCTGCTAGCAGGGCTGGGGGGCACCGGGGAGACGTGCCACAGACGCCTTTCCCAGCCCCCGGTGCCCGCGGGGACGGATGGGCAGAGCCTCCCAGCCGGGGCAACCAGCGCACCTGACAGCATCTCCAACCTCGCTGTGCTTGAGGCAGGGGGCTGGGGTGTGGGAAGAGGTGCAGGGTGTGGGAGGGGGTTTGGGGTGCAGGCTCTGGGAGGGGGCTCAGGGCTGGGGGTTGGGGTGCGGGAGGAGGTGCAGGGTGTGGGAGGGGGTTTGGGGTGCAGGCTCTGGGAGGGGGGCTCAGGGCTGGGGGTTGGGGTGCAGGAGGGGGTTTGGGGTGCAGGCTCTGGGAGGGGGCTCAGGGCTGGGGGTTGGGGTGCAGGAGGTGCAGGTGGGGGTTTGGGGTGCAGGCTCTGGGAGGGGGGCTCAGGGCTGGGGGTTGGGGTGCAGGAGGGGGTTTGGGGTGCAGGCTCTGGGAGGGGGCTCAGGGCTGGGGGTTGGGGTACGGGAGGAGGTGCAGGGGGTGGGAGGGGGTTTGGGGTGCAGGCTCTGGGAGGGGGCTCAGGGCTGGGGTGCAGGAGGTGCAGGCGGGGGTTTGGGGTGCAGGCTCTGGGAGGGGGCTCAGGGCTGGGGGTTGGGGTGCAGGAGGTGCAGGCGGGGGTTTGGGGTGCAGTCTCTGGAAGGGGGGCTCAGGGCTGAGGTGCGGGGAGGTGCAGGTGGGGGTTTGGGGTGCAGTCTCTGGAAGGGGGCTCAGGGCTGGGGGTTGGGGTGCGGGAGGTGCAGGCGGGGGTTTGGGGTGCAGTCTCTGGAAGGGGGCTCGGGGCTGGGGGTTGGGGTGCGGGAGGTGCAGGCGGGGGTTTGGGGTGCAGGCTCTGGGGAGGGGGCTCAGGGCTGGGGGTTGGGGTGCAGGAGGTGCAGGCAGGGGTTTGGGGTGCAGGCTCTGGGAGGGGGCTCAGGGCTGGGGGTTGGGGTGCGGGAGGTGCAGGCGGGGGTTTGGGGTGCAGTCTCTGGGAGGGGGCTCAGGGCTGGGGGTTGGGGTGCGGGAGGAGGTGCAGGGTGTGGGAGGGGGCTCAGGGTTGGGGTGTGGGAGGGGGTTTGGGGTGCAGTCTCTGGAAGGGGGCTCAGGGCTGGGGGTTGGGGTGCGGGAGGGGGTGAGGGGTGCAGGCTCTGGGTGGGGGCTCAGGGCTGGGGGTTGGGGTGCGGGAGGAGGTGCAGGGTGTGGGAGGGGGTTTGGGGTGCAGGCTCTGGGAGGGGGCTCAGGGCTGGGGGTTGGGGTGCAGGAGGTGCAGGTGGGGGTTTGGGGTGCAGGCTCTGGGAGGGGGCTCAGGGCTGGGGGTTGGGGTGCGGGAGGGGGTTTGGGGTGCAGGCTCTGGGAGGGGGCTCAGGGCTGGGGGTTGGGGTGCGGGAGGAGGTGCAGGGTGTGGGAGGGGGTTTGGGGTGCAGGCTCTGGGAGGGGGCTCAGGGTTGGGGTGCGGGAGGGGGTGAGGGGTGCAGGCTCTGGCAGGGGGCTCAGGTGGCTCCCGGTCAGCGGGCCCCAGGCTGCCGGCGGCGGGGGGACTGCCAGCGGCGGGGGTGCCTGGGGGGCCCCAGGCTGTTGGCGGGGGGCTAGGGGGGCCCCAGGCTGCCGGTGGTGGGGGGACTGCCAGTGGCAGGCGGGCCTGGGGGGCCCCAGGCTGTTGGCGAGGGGCTAGGGGGGCCCCAGGCTGCCGGCAGGGGAGGGCCAGGGGAGCCCCAGGCTGACGGGGGCGCTAGGGGGCCCAGGCTGCCGGCCGGGGGAGGGCCGGGGGAGCCCCAGGCTGTTGGCGGGGGGCTAGGGGGGCCCCAGGCTGCCGGCGGCGGGGGGACTGCCAGCAGCAGGGGGGCTAGGGGGGCCCCAGGCTGTTGGCAGGGGCCTAGGGGGGCCCCAGGCTGCCGGTGGCGGGGGGACTGCCAGGGGCGGGGGGGCCTGGTGGGCCCCAGGCTGTTTGCAGGGGGGGCCCCAGGCTGCTAGCAGCGGGGGGACTGCCAGCGGCGGGGGGGCCGGGGGGGCCCCAGGCTGCTGGCGGGGGAGGGCTGGGGGAGCCCCAGGCTGACGGGGGGGCTAGGGGGGCCCCAGGCTGCTGACGGTGGTGTAGCTGGTCTTGGAGAGGGAGGTGCCCGTGGCATGCACCTCGCCGTCGGGCGGGGGGCGGCGTGGGCGCCGGGGCCGGCAGCGGGCCAAGGTGGCGACGGAGGCGGTGCGGAAGCGCCGGTTCATGAAGCAGTAGATGAGGGGGTTGGCGCAGGCCGAGGTGTAGGACAGCAGGTGGATGAAGGAGATGGGGGCGCCCGAGAGCGCCCGCTGGGCCGAGGCCGGGGCGAAGGCGCGCCAGGTGTTGGCGGAGAAGACGGGCAGCCAGCAGAGGAAGAACATGACCACGATGACGATCAGCATGCGGATCACCCGCTTCTTGGCCAGCAGCTTGGCCTGCGAGCTGTTGACGCGGGCGCCGTCCTCCTGCGCCCCCCCCGGGCCCGCCCGGCCCAGCGAGCTCAGCTCCAGCACCCCCCCCGGCCTGGCCAGCTGCACGTAGCACCCGTCGTCCTCCAGCCCCGGGGCCAGGGGCTCCACGGCACCGTGCTGCAGACCTGGGGAGAGAGCAGAGCCACGGGCCGCCCCACGTCAGAGCCAGGGGTCAGCCTGCTCCCGCCCGTCAGCTGACAGGCCCAAGGAGTCCAAGGGGCGGGGGCCCGGGAAGCGGATGGGGAGCACCGGGGGGCCCCAGGGGTGGATGGGGGGGTCGGCGGGTGTGAATGAGGGATCCTGGGGATGGACGGTGTGATGAAGTGGGGTTTTATTCATCTTGTTATGTTGCATGCGAGTCTTACTGTCCTATACCAAAACTGGGTGTGCTTCAGTTTCCCTGGGTGCTGCACGAATACTGGGTGTGCCTCAGTTTCCCTGGGTGCTGCACCAACCCTGCGGGGGTGGGAACTGGGGGTGTGATTTTGCTGAGGCCCTCAGGGTAGGGTAGGTGCACCTGTGTGACCAGAGACCCAGGAGGGTGGATGCGACCAGGTGACACCTTTTGCTGGGAAGCGAGACAAAGAGACAGATGAGAACAGGGGGGTGTCTGACTGGGTGGCTGGAGACCTGCGTGGGGGGACTGGACCGGGGAATCCAGGGTGTCTGGCCCAGGACTCCTAAGATGGACTGTGCTGAAAGTCACTGATTTCCGTGCTACCAAGTGGACAGGGATGTGTGTGGATGGGAAGAGCTGGGGGCGTGAATGGGGGCCCCAAGGGTGGTGTATGTGGATGGGAGGGCCAGAGGTGTGCGCGTGGACGGGAGGGGGAGTCTGGGGGCGTGCGTGGATGTGGAGGGCCAGGGGCGTGCGTGGACGGGGGGGCCAGGTGTGTGAATGGGGGCCCCAAGAGAGGTGTGTGTGGATGGTGGGGGGGGTCCGGGGGCGTGCGCATGGCCGGGGGGGGTCCTGGGGCGCGCGCGTGGCCGGGGGTGCGCGCGTGGCTGGGGGGACGTGGCCGGGGGTGCGCGCGTGGCCGGGGGACGTGGCCGGGGGCGAGCGCGTGGCCGGGGGGACGTGGCCGGGGGCGCGCGCGTGGCCGGGGGACGTGGCCGGGGGCGCGCGTGGCCGGGGGACGTGGCCGGGGCGCGCGCGTGGCCGGGGGGACGTGGCCGGGGGCGCGCGCGTGGCCGGGGGGACGTGGCCGGGGGCACATGGCCGGGGGCGTGCGCGTGGCCGGGGGGACGTGGCCGGGGGCGTGCGCGTGGCCGGGGGGGTCCGGGGGCGTGCGCAAGGCTGGGGGCGTGCGCAAGGCCGGGGGGACGTGGCTGGGGGGGGGTCCGGGGGCGTGCGCGTGGCCAGGGGGATGTGGCCGGGGGGGTCGCGTGGCTGGGGGGACGTGGCCGGGGGCGTGCGCGTGGCCGGGGCGTGCGCGTGGCCGGGGCGTGCGCGTGGCCGGGGGGATGTGGCCGGGGGCGTGCGCGTGGCCGGGGGGGGTCCGGGGGAATGCGCGTGGCCGGGGGGACGTGGCCGGGGCGTGCGCATGGCCGGGGGGACGTGGCCGGGGGCGTGCGCGTGGCCGGGGGGACGTGGCCGGGGGGGTCCGGAGGAATGCGCGTGGCCGGGGGGACGTGGCCGGGGCGTGCGCATGGCCGGGGGGGGGCCGGGGGCATGCGCGTGGCCGGGGGCTCTCAGCCTCTCACTCACCCGTGGCTTCTCTCCTGATGTCCGTCTCGAAGCGGATGCTGCGGTACAGCTCGCGGGAGATGAGTCCATAGGCCACGGCCATCACCACGCCGGGGATGAAGAAGAGGATGAGGAGCAGCAGGATGTACCTGGAGCGGGCACAGCCTGTCACACGGGAGCCCCTCAGCCTGGCTGCCCATGTGCCACCCCCCTCCCGGGCCCTGCTCCGTCCGAGCCCACCGCCAGGCCGGGCCTGGGGCTCCCCATGGCCTGGACACCCCCGCAGTCAGCCATGCCGTGCCTCCTGCTCCAGCTGCCCCATCCCAACAGGGGCCTGGCTCCCGGCACCGCCCCGGGCAGCGCGTCCTCTGGGCCGGAGCCCAGCACCTGCTGCTTGCCCAGGCCAGGACCCATGGCAGTGGGGGAGGGCGGGAGGGTGTTGGGGGCATAGTGGGGATGTGATGAAGTGGGAATGTTCTTAATGTTCTCTCTGAATACTGGGTGGGTGCCTCAGTTTCCCCTATGCTGTTCTTAAGTATCTAGGGGGTGGGATAAGGGTGTATGATCATTGCAGAGCCCTAGAGGACAGGGGTGTGCAGGGGTCTGGACACAGAAAATGGCCGACACCCTGTTTCCTGGCCACTGATGGCCTGGGCCCTTCCTCCCTGCAAGGTGAGAGCTAAAGGGTTGGAGAACAAAGGAATCAGGTGACCTCTTGGCCCGGGAAAGGGACAAAGCCCAGAGGAGGGGGTTGGGGGGCTGGAGGGAGTTTCAGTTTGGGGCTGGCTGGGACATGGAGTGAAGTGCAGACGTGGTTGTCTGGCTCACTGCCCCCCCAAAATGGACCCAGCTGAGGGGTCCTGTTCTTTGCACCTACAAGCTCTGTGTTAGACCATGTTCCTGTCGTCTAATAAACCTTCTGTTTTACTGGCTGGCTGAGAGTCACGTCTGACTGCGGAGTTGGGGGGCAGGACCCTCTGCCCCCCCCAGGACCCCTCTGGGCGGACTCGCTGTGGGACGCGCCCGGAGGGGCAGAGGAGGCTGAATGCTCCGAGGTCGGACCCAGGAAGGTGGGAGCCGGGTGAGCTGTGTGTCCTGCAGACAGGCTGCTCCCCGAGAGGAGACCCCCCCAGAGTGCTGCCCGGCTCCGTAGGGAGCGGTTCTCGCCCGGGCCCGTGAGGGGGGGCGCAGCGCAGGGAGGCTCAGGGGCCCGCGGCACGGTGCGGGCGACTCACCAGGCCTGTGTGAAGTGCTGGTTGGGCCAGAGGTGCTGGCACTGGGCGAGGCCGGGCCGGGCGGGCATGGGCACCGTGGTGCTGTAGATGGCGTAGGGCAGCATGAGCAGCAGGGAGAGCAGCCAGGTGCCGGCGATGACCCGGTAGGCATGGGAGCGGGTCTGCCACACGCGGGACTGCAGCGGGTTGCAGATGGCTCGGTACCGCTCAGTGGCGATCGCCACCAGGCTGAAGGTGGAGACGCTGACGGACATGCCTGGGGCGGGGGGGACACCGCGTGAGAACCGGCCCCCAGGCCTGCGCCCAGCCCTGCCCAGCACGGGGGTCAGCAGGAGAACCGGGCACCCAGCCCGCTCCCAGGGGCAGGGAGACCGACCCAGGCCTGACCCCCGCCCCCGGCACCAGCCAGGGCTGGCAGCTCTACCCAGGAGCTCCCTGGCTACCCACTCCCCCCCCACCCCGAGCTGGATCCCCAGCCCTGCCCAGCCCCCGGCCCCCCCAGCTCCCCGGTCCTGGCACATCCAGATGCCCGGCCCCGCCCAGCCCCCCGCCCAGCCCCCAGCCCCGCCGCACTCACTCATGAGATAGGCCATGAGCTTGCAGCCGGCGGTGCCGAAGACGAAGGTGCCCATGAGGTTGGGCAGCAGGGTGAAGGGCATACAGCACAGGGCCAGCAGCAGGTCGCTCAGCGCCAGTGAGAGCAGGAAGCAGTTGGTGATGGTGCGGAGCCGCCGGTTCAGGGCCAGGACCACGACGATGAGTGAGTTCCCGAAGACGCTGAGCAGGAAGATCAGCGAGTAGAGCAGGACCCGCACCGTGAAGTCCAGGTCTGTGGGGATGGAGAGGCAGTGTGAGGCCAGGGCACCTGGGTCCTGCCTAGCTCGGGGGGGGGGGGTGGAGGTCTGGTGGCCAGGATGCCTGGGTCCTGCCTGGCTCGGGGAGGGGGGTGTGGTGGGTTAGAGCAGGGGGGCTGGGAGCCAGGATGCCCATGATGGTGCCTGGGGGGGCCCCCACTGACTCTGCCTCAGGATGGCTCCCGCCATGCTCTGTGGCTGGGCCATGCTGGCCGCTGTCTGCCAGCTCCCACCCTGCGCCCGCTGCTCCCCCTCCCCTCCGGGCACAGCTTCTCCTGGCTGTCGAGAAATCTCCGCATTAAGCATCTTCGCAGAACTTCCACGCGACTTCGTGTCAGGCCTCTTCGCACAACCTTGTCTTAGAATCATAGAATCATAGAATAACAGAGTTGGAAGGGACCTCTGGAGGCCATCTAGTCCAACCCCCTGCCCAGAGTAGGACCAATCCCAATTAAATCATCCCAGCCAGGGCTTTGTCAAGCCAGACCTTAAAAACTTCTAAGGAAGGAGATTCTACCACCTCCCTAGGTAACGCATTCCAGTGTTTCACTACCCTCTTAGTGAAAAAGTTTTTTCCTAATATCCAACCTAAACCTCCCCCACTGCAGCTTGAGACCATTACTCCTCGTTCTGTCATCTGATACCATTGAGAACAGTCTAGAGCCATCCTCTTTGGAACCCCCCTTCAGGTAGTTGAAAGCAGCTATCAAATCCCCCCTCATTCTTCTCTTCTGCAGGCTAAACAATCCCAGCTCCCTCAGCCTCTCCTCATAACTCATGTGTTCCAGACCCCTAATCATTTTTGTTGCCCTTCGCTGGACTCTCTCCAATTTATCCACATCCTTCTTGTAGTGTGGGGCCCAAAACTGGACACAGTACTCCAGATGAGGCCTCACCAATGTCGAATAGAGGGGAACGATCACGTCCCTCGATCTGCTCGCTATGCTCTTACTTATACATCCCAAAATGCCATTGGCCTTCTTGGCAACAAGGGCACACTGCTGACTCATATCCAGCTTCTCGTCCACTGTCACCCCTAGGTCCTTTTCCGCAGAACTGCTGCCTAGCCATTCGGTCCCTAGTCTGTAGCTGTGCATTGGGTTCTTCCGTCCTAAGTGCAGGACCCTGCACTTATCCTTATTGAACCTCATCAGATTTCTTTTGGCCCAATCCTCCAATTTGTCTAGGTCCTTCTGTATCCTATCCCTGCCCTCCAGCGTATCTACCACTCCTCCCAGTTTAGTATCATCCGCAAATTTGCTGAGAGTGCAATCCACACCATCCTCCAGATCATTTATGAAGATATTGAACAAAACCGGCCCCAGGACCGACCCTTGGGGCACTCCACTTGATACCGGCTGCCAATTAGACATGGAGCCATTGATCACTACCCATTGAGCCCGACAATCTAGCCAGCTTTCTAACCACCTTATAGTGCATTCTTCCAGCCCATACTTCTTTAACTTGCTGACAAGAATACTGTGGGAGACCGTGTCAAAAGCTTTGCTAAAATCAAGAAACAATACATCCACTGCTTTCCCTTCATCCACAGAACCAGTAATCTCATCAAAAAGGCGATTAGATTAGTCAGGCATGACCTTCCCTTGGGTCTTGGGTCTGTCCATGTGCGGCCTCTGTTTTCATGCAACTTTGTGTCAGATCCTCATACAGGAAACCTTGTATTGAACCTTGGTATAATGTTAAAAAATGTCTTTTCGCGAGGAGCAGAACAAGGTCCCCGCCCCCCGTTTTAATCCATTGTCCAGTTGGATGAACGAGGTGTGAACGGGGGCGGCGGAAGGCACCTCCAGACAGCCGCAACCCTCGGAGAGGTTTCAGAGTAGCAGCCGTGTTTGTCTGTATCTGTAAAAAGAAAAGGAGGACTAGTGGCACCTTAGAGACTAACCAATTTATTTGAGCATGAGCTTTCGTGAGCTATAGCTCACTTCATCGGATACATGCAGTGGAAAATACAAAGTGGGGAGATTTATATACACTGAGAACATGAAACAATGGGTGTTACCATACACACTGTAACCAGAGTGATCAGGTAAGGTGAGCTATTACCAGCAGGAGAGCGGCCCGGGGGAGGGGGGGGAACGACCTTTTGTAATGATAATCAAGGTGGGCCATTTCCAGCAGTTGACAAGAAACATCTGAGGAACAGTGGGGGGTGGAGGGGCGGGAGTAAACTTGTGGAAATAGTTTTACTCTGTGTAATGACACATCCACTCCCAGTCTCTATTCAAGCCTAAGTTAATTGTATCCAGTTTGCAAATTAATTCCAATTCAGCAGTCTCTCGTTGCAGTCTGTTTCTGAAGTTTTTTTGTTGAAGAATTGCCACTTTTAGGTCTGTAATCGAGTGACCAAAGAGATTGAAGTGTTCTCCGACTGGTTTTTGAATGTTAGAATTCTTGACGTCTGATTTGTGTCCATTTATTCTTTTACGTAGAGACTGTCCAGTTTGGCCAATGTACATGGCAGAGGGGCGTTGCTGGCCCAAGATGGCATAGATCACATTGGTGGATGTGCAGGTGAACGAGCCTCTGATAGTGTGGCTGATGTTATTAGGCCCTGTGATGGTGTCCCCTGAATAGATATGTGGGCACGGTTGGCAACGGGCTTTGTTGCAAGGATTGGTTCCTGGGTTAGTGGCTCTGTTGTGTGGTGTGTGGTTGCTAGTGAGTATTTGCTTCAGGTTGGGGGCCTGTCTGTAAGCAAGGACTGGCCTGTCTCCCAAGTGAGAGTGATGGGTCGTCCTTCAGGATAGGTTTCAGAGTAACAGCCGTGTTAGTCTGTATTCGCAAAAAGAAAAGGAGTACTTGTGGCACCTTAGAGACTAACCAATTTATTTGAGCATGAGCTTTCGTGAGCTACAGCTCACTTCATCAGGATAGGTTGTAGATCCTTAATAATGCGTTGGAGGGGTTTTAGTTGGGGGCTGAAGGTGACGGCTAGTGGCGTTCTGTTATTTTCTTTGTTAGGCCTGTCCTGCAGTAGGTAACTTCTGGGAACTCTTCTGGCTCTATCAATCTGTTTCTTCACTTCCGCAGGTGGGTATTGTAGTTGTAAGAATGCTTGATAGAGATCTTGTTAGGTGTTTGTCTCTGTCTGAGGGGTTGGAGCAATGCGGTTGTATCGCAGAGCTTGGCTGTAGACGATGGATCGTGTGGTGTGGTCAGGGTGAAAGCTGGAGGCATGCAGGTAGGAATAGCGGTCAGTAGGTTTCCGGTATAGGGTGGTGTTTATGTGGCCATTGTTTATTAGCACTGTAGTGTCCAGGAAGTGGATCTCTTGTGTGGACTGGACCAGGCTGAGGTTGGTGGTGGGATGGAAATTGTTGAAATCATGGTGCAATTCCTCAAGGGCTTCTTTTCCATGGGTCCAGATGATGAAGACGTCATCGATATAGTGCAAGTAGAGTAGGGGCGTTAGGGGGACGAGAGGGGATGGGAGCCAGGGCCAAGAACAGCAAAACCGGCCCAGTGGGCTCACGGCAGAAGAGCAGACGTGTTGACGGCCTTGGGGGTTAGACGCGGCACCTTCTTTTGAAAACACCCTCTCTGGACGTAAATGTGGGGCAGTGGGACAGCGCCCAGAAGGAAGCGCCGCCGGGGACCCACAGACACAGATTTTGACGCTGGGCTCGATTTGCAGGAGAGGGAAGTGGCTATATGTGCGAGGTGTCGTGCAGAGGACCCCGGGTCTCGTCTTGTCAACATGGGAGCATCGATCCGGATCGGCAGAAGCCCGGCTCCACCCCTCCCCCGTCGAACTCACCTGGCCAGAGATGTTCAGGGGAGCAACGAGCTGGTAACGAGGAGACGACGTGTGCGTGTGTGTGTGCGGGAGTGTAATATCCACCCTATGCCGATGACACAGTGGGGATTGATACATGGATTACCTTGTCCCCCCCGAAAAGATCCTGTCCAGAACTCGAAGTACCACACGGCACCGGGGCAGCCGCTGGGCTGACAGCCGGGCACGACTCCGCCCCCCGACTTCCCCCGGGGTCCGCCCCCGACTCCCCCGGGGTCCGCTCCCCCCGACTCCCCCCCTGGGCGCCGCGCTGGGTCCGCCCCCCCGACTCTCCCCCCCGGGGTCCACCCCCCCGACTCCCCCCCCGGGCACCGCTCCCGACTCCCACCCCGGGCGCCGCGCTGGGTCCGCTCCCCCCGACTCCCCCCCGGGCGCCGCCTCCCGACTCCCCCCGGGCACCGCGCTGGGTCCGCTCCCCCCGAGTCCCCCGCGCCGCTCCCACTCCCCCGGGCACCGCGCTGGGTCCGCCCCCCCCGCGCCGCGCGCTGGGTCCGCTCCCCCGAGTCCCCCCCTCCGGGCACCGCTCCCGACTCCCCCCCCCGGGCACCGCACTGGGTCCGCTCCCCCCGACTCCCCCCCCCCGGGCACCGTGCTGGGTCCCCCCCCGGTGTGGAAGAGAGGTGGGGGCAGAGATGGGCTCTGGGAGCTCTCAGTGGCCGGAGAGATTCCTGCCCGGGGAGAGCGACCAGGCCGGGCTGGCCCAGGGCCGACAGGAGAGAATCGGGAGTCTGACCCGTTACCTCCTGCTTCCCACAGACCGAGGGGGAGTCGCTGACGCTGACGGGGCAGAGGAAATGCCTCTCAGCCCCGAGCCCCGTTGGCCTGTGGAACTCACCACCACATGGTCCCCTGGCCGGGCGCTGGGCAGGGCCCAGGAAGGCCCTGGCATCGCTGGGGCTATCAAGCCCCCAGAGCGAGGCCAGAGAGAGGCAATCGGCCAAGTCCGACCAGCCGCGCAGGGCCCCGGCCACCTCCCCCGCAGGAGGAATCCCGGGGACAGTTGATCCACTCGGGGCTCCGGGCCGTGAGGGGCTGGCCCTGGCCGGGGGGAGCTGGGAGCCCCACCGAAGTGGCCCTGGGCAGAGACCTGCCCTGGACAGTCTGCAGCCCAGCGAGGTGCACGGTACAGCACGCGGGCTCACCGTTCTCCTCCCC